TCTGTATCCCCCTTCCCCGATTTGAATTGTGAGCCGCCCTGAGTCCCCTTCGGGGGAAAAGGGCAGCATATAAATATAATAAAATAAAATCAATCAAATCACTGCAGCCAATACCATTCACGTGAATATTCTATATATTATGCAAAGCCAGAAAGAGTCTGTTCTGTTATTTGTGTGTTTTGTGAACCTACCTACTTCTGGAGTGAGTCTGTCAATAGCATTAATTAATTCCTTCTTATTGTCCCAGCAAACCATATCTGAGCTTCAATCTGTCCTTGCATGTATCTATGGCATGCATAGATTTGCAATGTTAAGTTAGCCGCACAATCCACCCCAACTGGCTTCCTTCAATCTGCTGCTAAACCAAGCACAAAGCTTGTGCAGTATGTGAATCTTCTACTTTACTTTGGGTATTTGCACCTTGTGTCTGTTAAGGCAATTTGGGGGGCAGGAAGCAATAAAACCAAAAAGAGCTGGTGTTTTGGATAAAGATCCAGAATGCTTGAGCCTCTGCAAGCTGTTTGCACATCCTGCACATGAAAGGTGAATGCAGAAGCAGTATTTAATTGTGAAAACAAACACCTCCCTCCAAGCAGACCTGGAAAAAATGTCCCCCTCCCAGTCTACAGTGGAGGCATCTGCTCTTCTCTCATCATGTTTTCAGCTCAGTAGTTTCCAGGGCCCTCTAGCGGCTTCAAGAGCCCCAGTGAGTCTGCACAGCAGTCCCTTGCAAAGAGCCACTCAGGAGTAGTAAGGCTACTCTGACTCAGGTGGTGGGCAGTTTGTGTGTTAGTTTGAAATTGCTGCTTTAAGAGGGCAGAGCAACAATGTGGATTTCTAAGGGCAGTCTGTCCATTTTCATTCACTCATTCCCAAAATTAGCTTTGCCATTTGGCTGCAGCATCAAGTCACCCTCAGACACTAGGTTTCTGCTCCCTTAACAGGAGGGATGCAGTGAGCAGGCCTTTCTCTTGCACAATTGTTGGCAGGCAGCCAAGGAGGATGGCTGGACAATTGTTTTCTAAATGACGTTTGCTTTCACTCTTGGATCCCAAACTGCCCTCTGCTGTTTGCATCTGACACACAGCAGCCCTTTCCCACTTTGGAGTCTCACCTGAACTGTGGAGCCCAGGAGTGAGTGAGCTTTGGCCCAGGGTTGATGCAGATTGAACCTTCAGCCTCTCCTCCACCAGCCACCCATGTCAAACAGCCGCACCAGACCTGTAGCCAGTCAAAAGGTCCACCAGAATGGTTAGGTTGGCCCCTGGAGGCAATTTAAGAAGGGGAATAGCCCACTGCCCCCTCAATTACCCCTTTGTTGCCCATGACTGTCCCAATGGGCAATGGGGTCTTCAGCCACTGGATGGGCACAGCACCAGTTGACTGAACCAGTCTGGTCAAACTTGATTCCAGGTATTTGTGTTGATTCAGCAAATGTACTACACAAACCCAGCCAAAACATTGTATCGCCTACATTACTTTAACAGCTTTTTAATACTTGTCAAAGAAAGTGACTGCACAAATGGCATGACTTTAGTTCAACCTGAGGAGGGGGATCATTTTTGTGAACCTCAAGAATTTAAGGTGTTGTCCTCGTCTCAGAATTTTAACCAATCGAATGATGGTTCCCAGACTTTATTTAGTTCCTGAGTTGATCCATTTCTTGGCTTTGTGTTATGCCTTGAAAAAAAAGCCTTAAAGCCCTTGGTTCACACAGAGGCCCAGCGTGGATGCTGAAGAGGCCTGGCAAATGAAGCTCTTGGGCAAAGAGGCGGCCCCAGGACTGCCCTCCCTCTCTTGGGACTGGAAAGACCAGAAGGAAAAAAGCAACAGGTGGCCCATCCATTCACCTCTCTCCCTGTCCAACAGACACCCCAGGAGCACATCCTGGACTTAGGACTGCAATTGACCCCACATTTTTTGTTGCTAAGCGAAACATTTGTTAAATGAGTTTTGCCCCATTTTATGACCTTTCCTATCGCATTTGTTAAGTGAATCACCAAAATTGTTAAGTTGGTAACAGGGTTGTGAAGGGAATCTGGCTTCCACGTTGACTTTGCTTGTCCCAAAAGGGAACCAGGGGACCTCGGACACTGCAACCGTCAACAACAAGTCATTTGCCAAGCGGTCACCCGGTGGCTGCATCCAGCGTTCCATCATGGGACCATGTGACTCTGGCAACAGTTGTCAATGTGAAAAACAGTCAGAAGTCACTTTTGCTGTTGCAGTATTGAATGATCACTAAGTGAATGGTTATAAGTCGAGGATTACCTACAGATAAGACCATTGGAGAGGTGCTAAGGCTGGAATAGGCCCTCGGTCCATCTTGTTGGCATCCAGAAGCCAAGCCTGCTCTGCAGCTGCCCTGTTAGGCTGCCTACCTGGGAGGCAGGGGGGAGGAGAGGCCAGGGGCAGCCTCTGAGGACCAGACCCTCCAGAAACCCTCTTGCCCTTTTGGAAAATCACCCAAATTGGCTGCCAACTTCAGAGGCTCAATAGACTGTGATTTTTAATAGGGCAGAAAAGTATAAATATGCCAACTGCTTTTGATTAATTTGCATTATTCTGAAGTAGATAAAACTTTGCTTTTGCTCGGGCTCCAAATCCTTGCTGGACCTCAGCCCTAGTGTCTGTGTGATGTGGCTCTCAGCCCAAAGGAGCTGCGCCACTGTAGTGGGGGCACCTGGGATGCCTCAGGTGGGCCGGCCTGGGGCAGGTCCTCCATGCTTTCTCCGTGAAAACACAGGGCACCTCCTTCCAAGCATGTGTTGCTCCCAGATGCTGACTGCTTTTACCTGCAATCTCCCTTTCCTGTAGTTTTTTCATCTGTTTCCTCACTGCAAATCATTTGGGAAAGCCGCAAAGGCAGGCAAGCCACACATGAGGTGAGACTGGAGACCCTCAAGGGTTCCCCTCCCTTCCCTGGTATGCAGAGACAGACCCAGCCCATTGATCATCCTTTTATTCAGAGACCAAATTGAAAACTCCCGTGGGATAAGGATACCTTTGAACACTTAAATAAAAATAGATTTACGTGTGTGCACACATGCACACTCTCCTACCTACCTCACAGTTCCTAAACAAGTACAATACTCACAACCACAATAAGCAATAGGACAATCTCCAAAAGCAATGTTCAGTGCAGGACGGGGCATGGAAGGGTGGGACACGGCAGCCGAAGGGATTGCCTTGGCACAGAGGGTGGCTGCCTTGTGGTGGCATGAAACCTTCCTGGGACTCTAGGCCAAGCCCAGCTCATTTCTTCTGCCCCACTCAAAGAACTGCCAAGAAGAGACCGAAGACGTCCATTTCAAATTCATCCCCACCACAAAAAGTGCAATTAACTGGAATTCTGCTTGGACAAAGTCCGTTTCATTCAACCTGGCTTATTTCCTCCCACACACAAACTCCAGGCCTTTGATTCACACAGCAAGCCAAAGCTAACTTCCCATCCCGCAAAACCTGTCGGGGAGCAAATGACCCACAGCTGCCTGTAACATTGCTCTGTCTGGGTTTTTTTTTTTTTTTTTTGCCCAGTCTGTCCACTGCTTTGCGAGGGAGGGAACATTCTTCCCTCCTAAGAGTGCCTGAAATTCTCATCATACTTCTTCTTGGGGCTTCTGTACTTTTTCTTTTTAGCCACCCTAATCAGACACTTCAGTGCAGGGGGAGTTACTATCATCTTAGCCTTCTGGAGTCGCCAATTCACATTTTGCCCTAAATTTCACAGGGCATCAATCACAGGGCACTTCTGCTCAGCTGCAAACTTTAAATGCTATGGGGGGAGGGGAGAGAGAAGGGATGGAGAGTTGAAGGGCATCAGAGTTGCCAGAATCACTGGAGAGCTATGGCAGGTGCTCCCTGCCGCATGGGGAATACATGTGCACGCATGCAGCTGTGCAAGCACAAACCTCCTTTTCCTCTTCACCTTAGGAGCACAGCTAGTTCCCAGGTGGCAAGTTGGAAGGAACAAAAAGCAGCTTATTTATGTCTGTCCCACAACAGAGCATTTCTCCACAGAATTCCCAGCCTCTGGCAAGGCTCATCGAGAGTCCTCTCTGGTGCCCTTTACTTGACCCAACATTTTACTTTTAACACACTGCTGAGCCAAGAACAATCTTTCTGGGTGTCTCAGACTGAGGATCCTGCAATCTCCACCAACTAGGGGTTCTCGGCACCGTTTTGGCTCTTTGGAAGAGCCAGCACCTCTTCCTCCCCCTTCTGTTAGAGCCCATTAATTATTACAAGGAACTATTAGCGGAAGCAAAAACAAAAGCAACCTGTACTTTTCCATATGATAAGATTAGTGCAGAAATATACTTTTTAACGAGAGCTGTAATGGTAAACTGAGGTCCTTCTGCTTCCAAAGATGGAGAGCCCTCGGCCAGCCCTCCCAAAACAAACCTCTACAGAGAGATGGGAATGCAGCTCCCCCATCCCCAGTCAGGACCTTTTGGCTGGCTGGAGGTGGGAATTATTAGAGATCCAGAAGGTAGATTTGTGCAGGAAACAAAGGTCTAAAGCTGGGGCTTTCCGAACTCAGCAACTTTAAGATCTGTGGACTTCAACTCCCAGAATTACCCAGCCAGCCAAAGCCTCAGCCAACTCTTCAATTCTGAGAGTCGAAGTCCACCAGTTTTAAAGTTGCAGAGTTTGGAGATCCTTGATCTAAAGTGTGTGTGTGTGGGGGGGGGAGTTATAGCTTTTTGTAAATTTCCAAAAAGAATTTTTGGCTCCCCCAGGCCAAAAACGGTTGCATCTGCTATTGGCTCTTCAGGGTATTGAAGAAGTGATTTTGGGGGGAAGGAATAGAGGAAAGAAACATCTCCTCTTTTTGGCCTGGGGGGGGGGGAACCTCAGGACACTGAGTGGAAAACGCAGCCCTAGACCTATCATCAAACAGGGTAAAGATTTGTTGTTATGGGGGACACAATGGGGGGAGGGGGTGTAGATTTTTTTCTACCGCTAAGAGCTAGTAATGTAAGAGAACGGACCTCGTAGCTGCGGCCATCTGGGTCTCGGATTCAGGCAGCCCATCAGAAGTTAAATTTGCTGCCAGAGTGTTGGGAAAACTTCCTGTCCAGGGAGAAAAGCAGAGGCCAGAGACTCCAGCCAGAGAGGAGCCAGTGGACAGAGGGGACGTCTTCTGGCTGAAAGGCTAAGGCACCTGGCCACAGAGCCATCGCCTGGACCTCCGTGCTGGCTGTGCCAAGAAGGGCAGGTGGCGCAAGTGCTGGGAAAGGCACTTGCAGACTCATGTGGGCAAAGGCAGCAGGCCTCCCTCCCTCCCTCAAGAGGGGGCTTGCAGCCCTAAAGAGAAAAGAAAGACAGTGCACAGCTGGGCAGGCTGACCGGAGTCCCAAGCCTTCTACTTCTGCATGTCACACTGCAGCAGGAGGACAATGGAGGGATCGCTCTTGGCTGCCTCCTTGAACTCTTCCAGGCTGATCTGGTCATCTTTATCCTTGTCCATCTTGGTGAATATCTTGTCAACCCGCTGCTGGGGTGTCAGCCCATCTTGATCCATCCGCATCATAATAACAGTACCCACCATCTTGTAGATAGCCTGAAAGACAGATGGGAAAAATGAGGCTCTTCCAGTGCTGATCACAAGACCTCATACCTATATTGCTACCCTCTCCCACACCTGCAATGAGCAGCCATAGGATAGACTTCTGGATGCCTGAAGGTAGGACCACCAGCATGGGATCAGCCTACGGGAGATATGGAACCATTGCATTGATCTGATCTTCACTTTGGGAAAGGACAACTTTGGGGGGATTGGGAGTCCCAAGGATTCTCTGATTTTCTTGGTTTGGTCAGGCCTGTTTTAGGGGGTTCCCAAGGGGGGGGGACTTTATACAACTGTAGCAAATTGTGTCTCCTTTGAGTGATGATCTGCTGCGACTTCAGCAACATGATTTCAGCTTGGCCACCCCTGCATTGGCCCAATTCTGAACACCAAGCAAGCCTGAACTCCACCCGAGGGGATGTCTGCTACCTCGATGATCTCTAGCATCTCTAAGCGTGTGATCTTCCCGTCGCCATCCAAGTCATACATCTCAAAGGCCCAATTCAGCTTTTGCTCAAAGCTGCCCCTGGAAGTGACAGACAGAGCACAAATGAACTCCCGGAAGTCAATGGTCCCATCTCCGTTCTTGTCAAATGTGCGGAAAGCATGCTGAGCGAACTTGGATGCATCACCATAGGGGAAAAACTGCAAGAGGAAAAATGAGAGAGGTATCGTCACAAGGGCTTGTTTTAGCAACAGGACACCCTCAGGTGGTGAATCACCTATAGGTACCCCAACAGCAGCAGTCTCCCATCCCTCCAGAACCTCACCCAATCAATGCTGCCCAGAAACACCACTTCTACTCTGTTGCTTTTCTTAAGGTTCATTCCAAAAAATCACCAATGGCTTGAAGAGGGCATCCCATCCCTTGCAAAGCCAGTAGAGTGACATGGCTAATCTGTTGGATTAGGAGTGATGAAACTCAGATTTATTTATTCATGGTCTACTGAGTCTTGGGGTCAAGTTGTCTTGTAAACCAGAAACTTGCTAGGTAACCCTGAGCCAGTTGCTCTTTCCTGCCTCGCAGGACTGGTGTTACTGCACATAATACAGGACATAAGAGCTGTGGCGGAGCAGTGGTTAGAATGCAGAACTGCAGGGCTAACTCACTGCCTACTGCCAGGAGTTCGATTCTGAATGGTTCAAGAATGACTCAGCCTCCCATCCTTCCGAGGTTGGTAAAATGAGAACCCAGATTGTTCGGGCTCTGTAAACCACTTAAGAGTGTAAAGTGCTGTAAAGCAGCATATAAGTCTAAGTGCTATGGCTATAATGACCACCTTGAGCTGCAGATGGGAGGCTTCACTAATAAGCCAACATTATTAAAGTGAGCTTCATTGGATCTATAGTACTCGGAAAGTAGAACAGACTAGAACATTCTTTATTGGCCAAGTGTGCTTGGACACACAAGAAATTTGTCTCCAGTGGGTAAGCGCTCAGTATACACATGAGCAACAAAGTGATCAATCGTCCATCATAAGATACAACCAACACACTTTTTAAAATGGGACAGCCAAGTTTCCCAGCCTTTATGGCTACTCTGAGAGCTCTGATGATCAAGAGCACGCCTGGTTGAGACAAGTTGCTACCCCAACTCAGCTGCCCTCTCCCCTGCACACCATACCTTGATGTAAAGTTGCTGGAATTCCTCCAAGTTGAGGATCCCTGTGGGGCAATCTTTCAGGAAGCCCTTGTACCATTGTTTCAGCTCCTGCTCATTAAATTCGGTGCTCCTCACCAGGTCATCCAACATCTCTGGAGCCAACTTGCTGTTGTGCTTCCCCATTGTGACTTCTGGAAAGAGAAATCTGTTAGCCATGCCACTGCCCTGGCACAGTTTTCAGGTGCCTCTGTCTCCCTTCCTCTGCCACGTGCCCACTATGGGACATAAAGCTGCATGGGGTGGAATGTCCCCACTTTTCTTCTGATGGTGCTGCATATTTCATAACAAAAAGGGAGCCAAATGGTGATTCACTAACACCAGGAGAAAAACATGAAAAAGGACTGCCTACACCAAGCAAGCAGTCCACATTGTTCTAGGATGAAGCAGTATTAACTTTGCCATCTGAACAATGACACAGAGAAAAGCAACACTGATCTTCAGCATTTGGGCAGCAAATAGTTATTTGAGGTTGAACTGCAGCATTGCCAACTTCAAGGTAGCATCTCACATGACAACCAATCAAACCGTGAGGCAAAGGAAGGGGAACTCTGATATAAAAGATGACACAGAGGAAGCAAATGCAGGCTCAGTCATAAAAGGCTCAGATTCCTCTATACCACGGGTTATCAAACTGGCGCCCTGTTCTGACCTAGACTTCCTGATAGAGTAAAAAGCACACACTTGGTCCCTAAAACCCTCTTTTTATTTTAAAGGCTGTGAATTGTGTTCATTCACAACCTGTAATGAGTCCCAAAAAGCCTACAGTAGGCTGCCAAAGTCTTTCGGGATAAGGTTGATAAGCACCCACCTTTATCTTCTTTGAAACACTGCCAAAGACTTAATTGGCAATTAGCTTGGAAAGGCCACACGGAGTAAAGACTCCAAACAGAGCTTCAGAATTTAAACTGACCAGCATGAACCAAGTTGCTTCCTGCAAAGGCTTTTTGGCCCATCCCAACTTCGTGAAGGGAAAAAACATCATGGAATGTCACATGATGGCAATGTGACACCGTGAGTTTGACACCCGTGCTCTATACGAAAGCTCAAAGTATGAGGAACTAACAGGGAGAACTTGAGGGTAATACAATATTGTTGCCATTACTTGGCAGATTGGTCGGATGAAAATTGACTGGAGTGTATGTACGCTAGTCTAGAAGGATATAAACAGTTCAAAACAAACATACCTGGCAAAAGAGGAGATGAAGTTGCATTATATGTAAGAAATCACTACACTTTTACAGAAATCCACAATACCAATTGTGAAAGCCTTCTTGAATGCATTTGGATTAATATACAAGGAAAAAGGAATGACATGGCTAGGGGATATAGTACAGGCCATCCAACCAAGCAGAGGAAATAAATGAACATTTTCTTACTCATCTACAAAATAACAGAGCTTGCAGCTCTTCTAGTCCAACCCACTGCACAAGCAGCAGACCGTAGATCAGTGATGGTCAACCATTTCAGCACCAAGTGCCCAAAACAGAATGCATGCACGTGTATGAGTGTGCCCCGGAGTGCTAGAAGCCTGAAGACCAGGTGGCCAGTGCGCATGCACACACCAGAAACCACAATAGCAGCTGGCGACGGTGCATGCCCAAGAGAGGGCTCTGCATGCCACCTGTGCCATAGGTTCACCATCACGTCCCTATACAATTTCAGACCGCTGGCTGACCAGTCTCTGCTTAAAAGCCTGCAGTGCTTAAAAGCCTGCACTGCTTCTGAAGGGAAGCTGTTCCACTGATTTTCCTCAATCTTGGGAAGTTTCTCCTTACTCCCAGGTTCCTTCTCTCCTTGATTAATTTCCATCCATTGTTTCTTGTTTTGCTACCTGGTAATAGGTTGACTCCTCTTATGTGTGGCAGCCCCTCACATATTGGAATGCTTCTATTACTCCACTCCTTCAAGGGACTAGACCAGGAGTGTCAAACTCGATTTCACTGAGGGCCACATCAGGTATTTAACCTCGGGGGCCGGGGAGGACCTGACGTCTCTCATGTCGGAGGCACCTTTGGTAGCCTGAACAGTCTGCCAGCAGAGAGAAAATAGATGAACTCTTTGCTAATCAGGTAGCTGAGATGTGCAGGAAACACATGGCTGTAGTAATGGGGGGGGGCAGAGGGTGCTGCATGTACACTGAACTGCACAGCACAAGAATTTTCTCCCCTTCAGCTAGGAAGGGCTCCACCTCCCTTTCTTCCAAATGCTGGCTCTGCCAGTTAAGACAGACGACAAGAAGCCTTCCTGTGTTTTGGCTTGTGAGGCACATGATTGTTGTGAGAAATGGCACAGGGAACAGAAGCTAGATTTTACACACCACCAGACACTCTCACACAGCCCAGGGGCAGGAACCTTCTAGGCAAGTGTGGTGGAGAAAAGGCTTTGAGGATGCCACCCTCTGCCGGTCCCTCTCACCCACCGATTTCTCACTTCTGGGAATCGCAAGAATCCTGAATGACCTGCTTCCTTTCCCTGGAAAAGCAGATCCATGGGTCTTTCAGGGGCTGCCCCCTGGGAAAAGAGGGAGCATCTGAAGCCCCGAAAGCTGGGCCAGGATCACATCAGCTAAACTTCCGGCAGGAGAGTAGGCATGGGACGCCCAGTAGGCAACGATCAGCTCAGGCAAGCCTCCTTCTGGGGTCCTCCCCAGTTTGGGGAGTCAGGAGCCCCACTGTTCATTGGGGCTCATTCACTGACAATTGGCATGAATGAGGGGAAAGGAGACCCGATGACTCTGCCAAACCAGCCCTCAGATGAGATGGAGAAAGAGCGTTGGTACTTACCTGATACGCCTCTTCTCATAATGGGGGGAGGAGTATCCAGATTGGGTTGACCTTGTCCTCTCATTGATTGGATTGAGTCAGATAAACTCTCTTTGGGCTACACCCCTTGGCCACCAGGAAGACCCTAGTTATTGGCAAAGAATTCTATCCGACTCGTTGCACCATTCACTCCAGACTCTTATTTCAGTTATTAGCTTTTATTGTTATCAACATCAATATTTATATAATTTCTATAAACAATGAACATAACTCTTGTCATACAAACGTAGTCAGGGAGGGGCTGGATACTCCTCCCCCCACTATGAGAAGAGGCGTACCAGGTAAGTACCAACACCCTTTCTCCATAGTGAGGGAGGAGGAGTATCCAAATTGGGACATACCAAAGCCTGCACGTCCCTAGGGAGGGAGACCCCTGAGGCCACATGCCCCCCCACTCATACCTGTTGAGGTGTGGCCCCTGCCCTGAGGACCGCCTGCAACATCCTGTGGCCAAACGAGGCTTCTGCTGAGGTAAAAGAGTCCAATTTATAGTTCCTAACAAAGGGAGAGGGGGAAGCCCACGTGGCTGCCCTGCAGATTTCGGCCAAGGATGCCTGCGTGCCCCAGGCCATGAGGTGGCTGCGCTCCGTGTGGAATGAGTTGTGATATGATTTGGTGTCTGTATACCCTGTGATTGGTAATCAGTGGTAATGCAGGTTCGCAGCCACCTGCCTATTGTGCTGGCAGTTATCTTGTTACCAAGGGACCCTGGTTGGAAGGAGACAAACAGGACTTTGGATTTCTTGCTTGGCTGGTTCTCCTGAGGTAGATCCTCAGAGCCCTCCTTATGTCCAGAGTGTGCCACTTCTTCTCCAANGCCATCCGGGTCCCGCACATGCGCACATGTATGGATTCTCCCATTCAAATGCGAACATTGGTCTTGATTCTGGGTCTAGTGGACATGCCCAAAAGGCATCCTTTAGGTCCACTACACTGAACCATTGATGAGCCGGGGGTATCCAGCCCATCAAAGTGTATGAATTAGGCACCACTGGATGTCTTGTTTGGACAATCTTATTCAGGAGTCGCAAATCCTGCACCATTCGATATGTCCCATCAGGTTTCTTTACTGGCAGAAAGGGAGTATTATAGGGTGACATAGAAGGTTCCAAGAGGCCATCCTTTAATAGGCCTTCTGTTACAGGTTGCAAGCCTTTTTCCCCTTCCATTGATATGGAATATTGTTTGTGCCTCACAATTTCATTTGGCTGCTTTAAATTAATTTTCAAGGGGGGAATTTGAAGCCCCCCTGTTTCCTTCTTTTACCCACACAGAGGGGTTTATTTTCTCTTCCTCCTCTGGGGTTAATATTCTTATAAAAATGTCTTGTCCAAATTCTAACCTCATTTGTAATGCTTCTATGGAATCCCTCCCCAACAAGCTTACTCCTGCTTCTGATATATACAACATTTCCATTTTTATTCTTTTCCCCTCATTTTTAATACTTATTTTCAGAGGCATTATCTTGAGCATTTCAAATCCTTCTCCTTTTACTCCAGATACTTTAATTGTCTGGCCACTCAGCTTCATTTCTGATGTTAATTGTGGGAATAATTGCAGAGACCTGCTCCCACAGGATGTCCCATAGAGCACACGAAACAATGAAAGCGCATGGGATGTGGAAAGCAGGATAAATGACTCATAAAAGTAACTGGACATAGGCCACTCTGGCCACCTAAGTGATAACATTGTATGCTAATGAGTGTAATAATAAAAGGCGGTTTCGGACTCTGTTCTGAGCTCTCATCCCGAGACACCTTGCCTGCGTGTCTTATTCCTCATGAGAGACCACCACACGTGGTGACCCCAACATGATCCTGTGCCGACGGGTACGTCCCTGCTAACCCTCTGCTTACCGCCTGGAATAGGCTGGCGACTGACTCTAATTCGTAAGTATGGGGGGGGGGTGGAATGTCTGCAGCTCAGAAAGTTCATGTTGAAGTGCTTAGGCAATTAGGCAGGAAAAAATATTTAAGCAGCCAAGATCAAAAAATACCCAAGCCTCTCTCTAAATCAGAGGCTGCAAAATTGCTCGCCTACATTTGGGCTAACTGTCCATCTTATCCAGAACATGGCTCCTTAAAAGCTGAGACATAGAGGAAAATTGGCGCAGTCCTCCATCAAGTTCCGAGGGCTCCCCCAGATGTTCTTTGTCTGTGGAAAATTGCCTATACATTGA